CAAGATACGGGATAGTTCTAGAAACAAGAGAGCGTGAGAATTGTCACGTGATCTCGATGACGCAACAATACCTTGTCTCCTGGTACAAAGCTGACTTCAGTAGATCTCTTATCATAAGTTAACTTCATCGAGTCAGCAGACGTTTTCAACTTTGAACGCACTTGATGGTGAATATCATCCATCCTTTCCGATAACACTTCCACAAACTCTGACATATTCTCAGGCAACTCTTCATAAGGTGAGTGTCCCTTACGCTTGGGTCCCCTTTTAGCACTACATGTACTGCATGTTCGGCACCATTCTTCCACATCTCGCCTTATACCTATCTAACAAAATCTTTGTCGTATGTGACTCAATATCTTCTTAATTTCGAGATGTCCTCCTGTCAAACTATCATGGGGTTGACGCAACATAACTTCCCGTAACTTCCCCGGTATAACTGTTTGCCAAGTCGTCACTTTCCCATCGGTAGTTTCCCATCTCCGTACCATTGTGCCCAATAGTGCTTTGTCACAGGGTTTAGACTAGACACCTTCTCCCAAGCAGGGCACACAACACCCGCTTTTAGAAAATCAATCATTGGCTTCAAATCTTGGTCTTTCTCCTGTTCTGCCTTGATATCTATATTTGGTTCCACTTCACCATTATCGACTCTTTCAGTCGGCTTGACTTCAGCCCAATGGCACCCAATCAGCTCAACCTCTATTTTAACAGTTACCGGAACTTGGCCTTTGTTATTACCAAACGTCATTTTATCAAAATCAATTACAAATTTCCTTGGTAGTAGATAGTCCAATCCTAATATGCATTCGTCTTCAATGTCAGCCAAGTATACTTTCTGTCTGTCCTTTATGCCCATGAGCTCAATAGTTACCCACACTGGTCCCCACAATCTTGTAGAATGTCCTCTCACACCATAAAGCTCTGTATGGCTTCTGGTACTCCTTCATGATCTAACACCTTGATGCTCACAAGGGTTTGCTGAGACGCAGAGACTATGACAAAGTTACACCTTTGGCCATCCAGCTTTCCTGTCACATAGACACTGTGTGTGCTTGGCATTTTACACCTAGCTGTTGGGACTTTCATGATGGGGGATGGTGGGCGTCGCTCAACACCAACCACTACTGGTCTCCTTGAGGCTGACTTGTTGGTAATATTCCTTCTACACTGGCTCCTCACTACCTACACACATTATTGTTCCGTCACGTTGTCACCCTCTTATATATACCAGCCTACCCTATATCTAGTAATCTCCCGAAGGTTCGAGAGATCGAGTCACGTGACCTCGCTGACGCAACAATATATATAAATGTTTTTTGTGATGCTGCATTATATATATAATTTTGTTTGTTTTTCTTTTACAACAAAGCAACATTTGGTTGTCTGCTGTGTCTATTGTGAGGAATCAAATTCTGGGCTTTGGCTCTGTAAGTCTATAAACTGACCACTATCTCACAAGGGGGACTATATGTATAAATTTTTAGTTTGAATTAGGTTAAGCAAATGTTTTCAATGAAGATGATAAACAACTTCAGATAAATATATATTCTACCCGACATTTTAGCTTGCCCCTTGTCCAAGGGTCTATGAACATCACAGGTTACAAAACTGACTTTAAACCTGTGACATTTGTCATATTCACTGAAAATTGTTTCCATCCTTCAGTTAGCACTGAAAGTTATAAAAAATGTTTAGCAAATGAATAGTTTTGAAAAAAAATGATTTTCTTGTATGAATCTGTAACATCCATCTTAAACTTAAAGTATTTATTTTTGGTGTTGATTATTTGCAATCATGTTACACTGAGGCTTTGTTTTTGTAGTTGCAACTTTATATTTCATTGCTAAAGGATCTGCTGTTGCATTGTATATTGAGATTATGATTTTTGCATTGCATGAGGTTATAGCTGTAACTATAGTACCATTGCTAAATGGCTTTTAATTATGTGATACAAATGTTTTGTTTCTTCATTAGAGAGTATTTTTATGTAAATTTATAGATTAATGTATTGTATTTCTTTGTTAAAAGTTTGGGTATATGTTTTTCTATGACTTCTGATGTATTAATTTTTCGTATTGGTTTTAAATTTTAAAATAGTTGGTGTCTAACAATATTTCTGTGGTGCACTTCTTGGATTATTATTGTATTTTATGTCAAAGAGTTTATTATTTTTATCATTATTATTTTGTATAAATTGAGATTGGTTTATATGTTATTGTTTGCAAAATGTTTCACGTTTCCTTTTACGAATTTTGTAGTATGTATTTCATTGCTAAAATAATTTTTCTAAATATCTAACAGTATTTAAATTGATCCATATTAAAGGGTTTTCATTTTTTGTTTTTGTGTGTAGTACATTAAACTATCCCTTCTATGGAAGAAGAGTTAATCTGTGTTAAAGTGTTTTTATATATGTATTTCTTTGATAAATGGTATTTTGATATGTGTACTTGCATTTTCTATTAATAGGTTTGATTATGTGTATATATGTAAATGTTTAAATTAATACTTTATTAGGAATGAAGGAAAGTAAATACACTTTTTAACTGTGTCCTGTGTTTAAAAATAAATTTGATTGTTGGTTTGAGGATAAATCTGAAATAGAGAAGGGAGTAAAAGTGTTACTGTAGTATGCAGGTATATTATATGTTTTCTACCTTCTTCTATTATACAAATGTTCAAAATTTTTGATTTAGTTAAGATTTTATGCAGTTTTTGCATTAATACATGGTCCAGAAAATCATTGAGTTGTTTCATCCAAGTTACCTTTGTTCTCTAGTAGATAGTATATATTTTGCCCATAAGAATATTGCTTCAACTTTACCAATTGTGTAGAACAGGTCAACAATAGCAATGTGGATGATACCTTGAGGTTACACCTTTAACCGTTTTGTAAGAGAGAAACCAGGTATGTGATAATTCATATCAAATAATTGGGTAGATCCAACGTTTCCTGTTATTATGGAGCAATAAGTTCACATCAGTTCTATGTGTTTATCACAATGAATAGGTCAACAGAAAGATATCTTGGGGGAAAAAACAATTGACTGATTTGCAGGTCCTGTAGGAGGAGACTGTTCAACACCTATACAAGAATGTACATTGTGTTTCTTTGGTTTGCAATAATAAAAATATTGGTTTAATTTTACATCACAAGTTCATTCATTCATTCTTTCTAGGCTGTGTCCGCCCACTGCGAGGCGTAGCTCTCTGCCAAAGATGTTCAAGTCTGTCTATCTGCTGCTTTCCTTGGCCATGTGATGCCCTCTTTCTCTGTGATGTCATCATGCCATCTTTTGTGTGGTCTACCTCTTGATCTCTTCCCTCTGCGAGGCTGCCATTCTGTGATTCTTTTCATCAATCTGTTGTCTATTAATCGACAGATGTGTCCAGCCCATTTCTCTTTTGACACTGCAATATACTTGGAGATATCTCTTACCCCAGTATTTCTTCTGATCCTAGAGCACAGAATTTCATCCTGTAGCTTGATCTTTAACATCTGTCTTTTCATTGTTCTTAGTGTTGTCTGCAATATTGAGTTAAGCTGTTTAGTGAGTGTCCAAGTTTGACATCCATATGTCAAAGTTGGTCGAATACATCACAAGTTCAGTCTGTTTATTTTCAAAGCTTAATCTCAGTCATTTAGTTAAATATAGAATTATTTCACAATTTTCCTGATCTATCCTCCCATTATAAGATGTGTCTATTTAATATCTGCATGGAACTCAGCTTCTCATGCGAATGCCACAATCTCTTGATTATTTTGCATATCCCACTGGATTACTATTAAGGGAATTCATTGAATATGAGAATACAATACTCTTTAAAGTTTGTTTCAATGTAATAGTCACTGTAATTCTCAAAAAAGTATCTGATCTTATGTTGATAATATTGTTACGACAGCGGAGGTCACGTGACGCTAGTAACACGTCATATTCTCGAAGCTTTGTGAATCCTCGGGAGGTTACTAGATTTCGGTATTCTTTTATATATAGGACGGTCAAGACGTGAGAGCAACAATGTAATGCTGTATAATTGGACTGCAGACAGAGTATTGTTGAGTTGAGCATGTGAGACGTTCATTATGAATTATAGCGTTTGTTATAGCACGACTGTTGAAATTAAGTGTATCGCAAAGTTGTATTCAGAAAGAATAAACTAGTTTTATTTAAGAAAGGACTTGTATCGGTAAAGTTTCTTCGGAAAGAATTTTTACGGAAAATTAACTAACGAACGGAGATGTAACAATATTCTTGTCAAGTGGTGGTCAACATATTATTGTTTTCTAACCATTAGAATTAATTGTTAAACTACAGTAGAACTAAAAAGTCTTTGGCTTACTGCTGTTTATTTGGTTTTCAAGTGAACAGATGATAACAGAATGTCTATATTCCCTTTGCACCTTCTTCCCCCTTGGTGTGTGTTTAAGGGGTAAACCCAAAGGTGGTCAGAGATTTAAGAAAATGTTTATTTGTCCCCTGTCATATAGATGAAATGGAAACAAGTAAAAATTATGGGAATAGAATAAAAGGTTAAATGCAGCAAAGTGAAACATCAAATGAAGATGCTTTTTAAAAGAATAAATAAAAAACATGGAGAACAAGACCAAACATCAACAGCAATAGCCCAGAAATTCAAAAGGAAGCAATTAGAAAGGTAAAGAAAGGTAATAACAAATAACATGCAGCCCAAGGAGGTAAGCTCTATATAAATATCAGGGAAGAAGAGTAGTTTATTGAAAAATAGGAGCAAGTTAGTGTACTGGTTTTAAAATGTGAAGAAGCATTGGTGAATGATGATAAAATAAGATTCAGGGATAGATGAAGTTCAGAAGAAGACAAGGGTATTCAGAGATTCAGTGATATTATTATTAGATAAGTCAGAATTGAAATGGGAGTCAGGTTGTATAGAATCAATGTTAGCTTGAGGGAAACATGAACTAATGAGAAAAAAATATGATTTTGTGGAAGCATTTAAGTAGGGTTAACAAACAGCTTGCAAAGAAGTTGAGATTGGAAGAGAAGACTTATGAGTAAAGTCATAATGGACAGGAGACTAGGGAGAATGAACAGCACAGGATTTACAATAAGCATCAAGCAAGTTCAGATTGAAAGTTTAAATTTTCCTATGCTAAAAATGTATTTCCGATAATACTCCTATCACATTAGCTTTATTTCGACGAATGGTTATTTTCTTTGCCAATCTAAGCATTGGTATGAATTCTATCTCACTTGCTCCAGTCTTTATACCCCCACTATGTTCTCCCTAGTAATTTTAATTTTATGATCCTCTCCACCTACGTCAAATTGCCCTCTATACCCGATCCACATATAAGCTCCCTTTTATTTTTTCTTATTCACTTTTTTCAAGACTGGCAAGATCATCAAACTCAAACATTGGTTATTGTGGGGAGGAAGGGCAGGGTAGTGTGAGATGAGGTATTATTGGAAATACATTTTCTGTATAGGAAAATGTAAATGACCATGTTCAGTAACAGGATTCGAACCTACAGCCTACAAATTGCGAGCCAAGTGCCCTAACCACCAGGCCATGATAGGCCTACAATTTAACCCTGTGAATTGTTTTAATTCTAAATAACAACACAACTAAGTCATGAAAAATACTATTCTAGTTAGCCATAGGGATTTGTTGCTCTAGAGCCAGAGTAATGTAAAGTCAGCCAGAGTTGGAGCATCATTGTGGAGCAGTTCTAGAGCTGTAAGTAGCCTGGAGCTATTCCGTAACCAGAGCCAGTAATCTCAGAGTATTGCCAACCCTATTTTGAACCATACTTTTTGATCTATCAAGTGATATTTGATGATGAGAGGTTGGCCTATTGTCTTGCAATAATCATTCAATCTATCCAGGAATTGCCATTTCTGCAGAACAGCCCATGTAATACTTACTAGATACACAACTAGGATGGATGTTGTCAGATAAGATCCTAAGAAACTGATGGTTGGTTACCATTGTGGATGATAAGTTGGAGCTCTGACAAACCAATATGCTGAAAGGACTTTTGCAGTCCTTGCTTTCTGAGCACTCAGTTTAATTTTTCTGATAAATGTTGGCAGTCGTTTGCCTGCAGAACTTCTTGTGTGAACTTGCAATCCTGTACATAAGTCAACATGATCTTTTGTTATGTCACCATAAAAGATTGTGCCTGAGGGTCTTTCTAATGTGCTGTAAGGGAGTTATACTATAATATAGCATGATAAGTTGACATAGACAATAAATCTGAGAAAAATTTTATAACTTCACCAATTTGTGTCTGAGTTATATTTTATCTTGATTTTATGTAGTTACCTCTAGATGATACTAATGGCAAAACATAGAAATGTTGGCCGATAGCTGTGTTAGAAGTGAAAGTAATTTTGCTGTTGTCCTTGTGAACCTAAACTCTGTGTATGAGTGTTATTAATTTTTAGTTGCCAATATGAAAGAAAGAGGCATTTCTTCTTAATAATGATTGGACTTACTTTTGTTTTTGTAAGAAAACTGTATTTGTAGTCCAACTCTTTAGATGGAGCATGAAGGTCAAGTATGCACTTTAGTATGCAGAGAAAGCATAATTGGTGCTAACTTTAGTTTTCATACTAGCCACTGAATAACCTCTTCTTTATGAAAATGGGATGCATCACAGTACAACTTACACTGTGATTATATGTCATCTAACTTGTCAAACAATAAAACACAAACACAATGCTTATAAAAGTACAGGCAGTTATACCTTTCCCAGCGGTAGTGTGATGATTGGATTCATGGCTCCCAGGACAGAAATGCTACAAGACAAATGTGTGGAAACCAACGTTTTGGCTGGTGAAGTCTACTCCACAAGACAGATTGAGGTGAAATATCACTTTTCAATACAGAATATGTAAGGAAACTCTGAAAAAGTTACATGAAACTAGTACTGTTGGTAATACAACCAGTCCAAGTAGAAAGCCCTAACTCTTCGAAAGCAAGTTTAAATAACTCAGGTTATGTTATTACAATATGCAATATTCCATAAGAAATGAGTTAGCTTAGGTGTGAAAGTTAGTTTGAGAACATTAAGACACACATCAGCATGAAGTAGCCTCAACTGATGTGTAACTGATCAAAATCCATTCCTTAAGAGAGGCAACCAAACCAAAAGGCTGAACTGGACATCAGATTTCATACAATGGGATGAACAGAGTTGGAGAATGATGCTCGTTACAGATTATTTCAAATTGTTCAGCAACAACCAATAAATAGTATTGTGGTCAATATACAATATCTTTAGTGAAGCATGCTGGGGGAACAATACAAGTGTGGGTAGCATTTCTGCTTATGATATTGGAGATGTGCACAACTGATAGCACCTAACTGCTGACAGTTACAACTAGAAGAAGTGGCTGTCAGAACACTCACACCCATGGCTTAGCCTGTTTACAGTCCTAATGTGAATACTTTTAAGGCTATATTGAAACTGAAATAGTCAAATGGTAAACAAGCAACCTAGCTGAACTGTTAGGAGTAATACAAGGCATTTGGAAGAATATTATATTTCATAAACATATATACTGATAAATTTAAGGAAGCATAAAATCAAGATGCACTGTTCTGTTTCAAGCAAATACAAAATACCAAAAAATTATACAACTTATTGACTGTTCTTTTGTATTTTCTGTAGCAATATATTATATCAAGTATAAATTGATTTGATTATTTAGTTGGAATTACCCATTGTTTGTGATTCATATATTTGTGTATTACCTGTGCATTTCCATAATTATTTCCAGGAACAAAAATTTTCAACCAAATGAAGAAGTTGCCATAGATATCGAGATGTATACATTTGGCACAGCCCACAGTGATTAGCTTAAACTGCACTAAGAGAAAAACATGTTGTATTATGTGTTTTCATAATGATGGACAAGACTATTTAATTTGGCTCTGAACACAAGATAGTTGTAAATATGTAATTTTACATTGAGAGAAAGACTTGGAGTTCTTGGATAATCTTCACCAAACCAGCTGAGAAATGTGGTGGACTTATAGTTTCATTGGTGAGGAATATTTTGTAGTTGAGGGAACTGGAAATTTGTAGATTTTATGACTCAGTCTTTATGAAATGAAATCACAATTACTTGTTCATTCTGAATAAAAAAAATTATATACCCATTGTTTTTTACAATAGATTTGATTTAGAAATATATTTAATATATGCAACTGAGCTATTTTCAGACCGAATATATTAATGAATGTTATATTTCAATATAATTTCTGAACAATATTGATGTTATACATGAATGTTGTGTCAACTATATGCATTTGTAGTGCAATGACATTACTTTTGCATTCATTACATGACTGTCACTCTGGATGTATGAAATCAGAAATGATTCAATTAATTTATTCAGATTATATTTAAATTCTCTCAGAAGAAATGTTGGTGTTGTGAATTGACAAACTACAAAACTTTCTGTATTAGGAGTTTTAGTCCCAGGCTGTGAAGATGTTGCCTTAATTGCAGATGAAGGTGTAAGGTACTGGTTTTTAGTTTTCCACATTTCTCAACTGGAACCAGAGCTCTGCCTCTATGGTAACTAGAAAATGCTGCAAGAGCTTGTGTGTACATGAGATGGCTGTACCCACTGACTGGTAAGCCTGATGCCAAGGATTGGTATGGTTTGCCTTATGTAGCTGTATATGTGAACTGTCCCATAGAAACTATGTGGATTGGACATTCACTAATGCTTGGGACAAACACTTTTTCTGTAGTAGTGAGATGAGTGCATTCACCATTCATTCTGTGAAATGTAGGATTTAAACTTAATTGTGTCTTGGACGCATTTTCCTAGAGAAGACTAGGTTGTGAGTAAATTTGTCATGGAATTCAACCTTACATTGCTTGCTGAACTCCTGATCTATCACAGGTTGATTTGACTTAGCATATTCATTTTTGACTTTTTGATATAAAACGCTATGATTCATGAACATTGTTCAATTATTTTGTGACCTGTGAACCAGCTTGATCAACCTATTGCAATAAATGATGACTTCTTGCAAGAGTATGAAGATCTATTTCTGATGCTGCCAACACTGGGAGAATTCAAAAATTATGCTCAGCCTAACAGTGATGTCCAATCTGGACCAGTTATCTGAATGAGCCTATGATGGTCAGGTTTATTTGGAATATCACACAAAGCTTCTTGAGGGTTATCTGTACTAGCCATCCCTAATTTAGCAGTGATAGACTAGAGGGAAGGCAGCTAGTCAACACCACCCACTGCTAACTCTTTAACCAATAAATAGTGGGATTGACAATCATATTATAGTGCCCCCAGGCTGAAATGGAAAGCACATTCAATGATAGGGATTTGAACCTACAACTTACAGATTATGAATTGAGCTCCTTAACTACCAGGCCATGCCAGGCCCTAAAAGTTTGTTTTATCAAAGCCACATTGGGCTATCTGCTCTGTCCACCATGGGGAATCAAACCCTGAAGCTTTGCATTGTAAGTCTGTAAACTTACTGCTGTCCCATCAGGGAACATGGTGATCAGAGAAGATTCCAGGGTTCAGGAGTGACCAGAGAGCTTGCAGTCTTGTTAATGTCACATAACATCAACACATGCCAAAGGGTTATATTCCAAAAGGGTGTCATGGGCACCCATGTTCAGTGGAAGAGTTCCAGTCTACCATAACAAGTTTGAGTGACATATATTATCACTTCAAGGAGGCCATTAAGATTCTAAACACTGTAAAATATACTACCAGGTCTATAAAATGCACCCCTCCAAGATCAGGAAATGCCATTACAAGGCAAGTAGAGAAGCCTTGATCACTCTTATCGGTATCACCTACTAAACAGCTTCCAAAACATGCCCTACCTACTAGCCCAAAACTTATTAGTTGGACTCAGCTTGTCAGCAGTGTGGGAGTGATGATGATGACATAGCTAGCCATGGGCTACAGGCTGAGTTGAACTAACAAAAAAGAGCCCCAAGTGACAGATACCAGCAGTAGGCCCAAGAAAATTGTCATATCCATGTTGTATGCCTCAAGAAGGGTATACAGAGTCTTCCATTTATTATCAGTTGATATATTTTCTACTATGTTAAATTTGTTAGATTTGATTTTGTGATTATCAACTGAGTTTTTCATATGTTATTCTGTTTTGCATTGCATTTAGTTTATGCCATGTTTTATGTAATTTAATTTATTTCCTACATTTTATTTAAGTTTATTAGTCTCAATTGTAACTGATTGGTATTTTAATTGTGTGATAAATATTTCGTTATTTTACTTGATTCTATTTTCAGCATAGTTCTGCACCCATTTTAATTTTTCTTTCAACTATCTTGTATTATGTTTGTTTGACAATTCTATTTAGTTCATTGTAAACCATTTATTTCTTGGTACATTTCATCTAATTTTTCTTAGTCAAATTGTTTTTTTAAATTCATTTTCTGTCTGTTTCATGCAAGCCTTGGTTTCAATTTTATACTGAATTATGCTCAGTTTAGTTAATTTTCTTATATCTACCTGATGGAGTCTTTGCATGTTGAATAAAGTTTCTCTTTGTTGTCTTCATGTAACTATAATGGTGTTTGTACTCTAAGGATGTGATTTCGGGAAGTTAAGACTTGTTAATAACTTCTAATTTGGTCTTTTAATATCTATTTTTTAGGTTCAGACTTTACTTTTGCTTATACTTTTGATTGAAATATTCATTAAGTTTCACAAACATATTCCCCTAACTATAAAAACAAAACAAAAACATTATGGAACTGCTAATTTAACTCTTTCTTAAGTAACAAATAATATCTTTTAATTTAAGTATATTCAAGTAAATTTTCATGCAAATTTTATGCATCTAGTAAGCGACAACTAGATTTACAAAGTTGTCGACTTGTACTAATCCTCAAGACGAATGTAACTTATCACAATTTACCTCTTGACCTCCTGAACTGAGGTTATATTCATGTCACAAGTTAGTATAGAGAATTAAAGAAGTTAGTAAGAGTTGGAGTTTATCTCTCTTGAATATGTATAATGCTACATTAGGACTTTGATTAGACTTAACAGTGTGGAGTCATTATTCTGTTTATTCCTGTGTTCATCTTGTGGAGACATGTTTTTTTCCAGCTCCAGTAGTCATAGAGTTCATAATAACAAATATCAAAGTCACCCAGTGTAGGTAAAGACCAAATAGTTTTCTATTTCTTATTAAAGATTTTATTTTTTCAATTGTGTTTACTTATTTTACCTTTGCTGACTATGTTAATTTTATTCTTTGCATAACATTAACACTTCAGGAACAAGTGTTGTATTGCAAATACTTATAACTTTCAGTTAGACATTATTGTACCTGACTATCATGCTGTCATAAGTGATTATTACTACTTGATTTCACTGTATACTATTACTGATGTAACATTATATATGATACTGACACATTTATAATTTAATATTCTAGTCACTGCTAAAGACGTTTTTTTGATAAACAGCTAAATTACAATTCTACAAACAGTAACCACACAGATTTATTGAAATTAATGTTTTTATATCATTTTCTTGTATAAAAATGAATTTGTGAATTGTGTAACATGAGCATAATATACATGAAACAATATAAAATGTAAACTTTGAAAAGTTACTTTAGTTTAAGTACATGTACCATTACTGAAAACAACCTTTAGGGCTTTACGCCTGACACTTTGTACATTATTAATTACTTAATGTTTTTAGTTTTTCTTAATTCTAATTTTTGCATTTTTAGGATATCTGGCCAATTATTTTATCAACAGCTTGATGAATATACATTCTCTGGAGAATTTTGGAAATGAAGAGGTGCATGAATCTAAATTTCAAATGGACAGCAACTGCCTGTTGTAGAAACCTACAAATGTAGAGGATGACGTTTCGAAAGTCTTCCGCCTTTTGTCTTCAGGTGCATTCTAATAAAACTGCTACGCAAATATAAACAATGTTTCTTCTCAGAATTTCCACTGTGGTTAATCCATTCAGCATGAATATCTTTCAGTCTGCAGCATAAAGTTGCAGAAAATGTTATGTATAGTTGTCTTTTTATTTGATGATAATAATAATAATTATGTTTATGCTTTAACTGATGTTTCTGTCCTTAAGATGAAGCATGAAACAAAACTTCTTTAATGTTTTGGCAGTGTGTGCAGCAGCACCAGCTCTTCAGTTACTTTGGGACACTATGTTAACCATTAAACTTGGCTTAAAATACTTTTGACAAAGATGTTGGTCGTAGACATATGCTAATACAGAATTACTACAAATGTCTTGAAAGAACTGTGAATTTTTATGAATACCCCAAGAAGACACAAAAGCTAAAACTTTAGAAATATAAGTATGGGCTAATATTTAAAAACCTACATTATAATTGTACCTAATATTCAAAACCTTTTACTTTTTGTTTTACATTTATTACATAATAATGTTTAATAATCTAAAAATGTTGCACCCTGCATGCTCAGTAGGTATCTCCTATAAATATTGGTTATGTAATATAAGTAACACTTGTAATCAAAATTACATTGTATATATATAATAAAATGAAAGTTACTGATAACTCACTAAAGTAATTCAATTTACTTTTCTGTCAACTAATGCATTCAGGTTATAACAGCACTGACAGTGCTCTATGTTGTAAAATTACACTACTTTTACAAGCCATCTTAAGTAAACAAAGCACCTCTTATTCTTGACCAAACAATCTAAAATATTTTGTAAAAATGAAAAAAACTTGGTGCAAGATTAGAGATAGAGTAGCAGAAATAAGATAAAAGTATAATATAATTATTGGTACAAAATAAACTTACTTGAATTAAATTTGTAAGGAATATAAACAAAAATGAGCGAAGTTTGGCAAGCTATTTAAAAATTCTATATCATTTCTGACAATTAATTGCAATTTTTTGCCTCAGAGTGAGTTAAAAGTTCTACTTGGTTCTATCCATACATTAAAAATATTGTAAAACCTTTATGTTCAGTTTAAATGGATATATAATTTCTGTTCTCCTGATGCAAGACTGCAGGAAGGAATTATTACTCGACACATGAAAATTATTATTAGTACATATTGTGCAAGCTGCAGAGAAGAAAGAGAGACAGAAAATGACTCTTCTGGTAAAGTTGATACCAACTTTCATCACAGTGTCACTCACCTAACAAAAATGACCAAACTTCTATTTTAATGATAAGAAAATAATAACTTCAGATGTTGTTTTATGCTGGTGTTAATTTACATTGGGTCAATCTCATCACACTCATCATATGTAAATATTGTTGCATCAGCGAGGTCACGTGACTAGTATCACACCACTTCTTTCTCGAACCTTCGTGAATTGTCGGGAGATTACTAGATTGGGGGTAGTGTGGTATATATAAGATGGTCACAACGTGACGGGACAAGGTGTGTAGTAGTGAGTAATTGAACTACAGTCAGAGAGTGTGTAATTGAACTTGAGCACGTGAGACGTTCGTTGAGAATTATAGTGCGACTGTTGAAATTAAGTGTATTGTAAAGTTGTATTCGGAAAGTATAAACCAGTTTTATTTAAGAAAGAACTTGTGTCGCTAAAGTTTCGTTGGAACAAAGTTACGGAAAATTGACTAACGACTGGAGGCGTAACAAATTGGTGTCAGAGAGTGGGATAGAAAATTTAAAAAAAAAAAGAAGAAGAAGATGGAAACGAGAGGTGGCAAATCAAACTACAGCTTAGCAGATTTGATGACAGCAATACAAGAACAGCAAAAGAAGCAAGAAGAATGAGAAGAGAAATTACAGCAGTTGTTGGAGGAAAAAGAAAAGAAACAAGAAGAACAAGAAAATAATCAAGAAGAAAGATTACAACAGTGGCAAGAAAACCTACAACAATGACAGCTCGAACATCAAAATAAACAAGAGAGATTACAGCAGTTGTTGGAGGAAAAAAAAAGAAACAAGAAGAACGAGAAAAGAAACAAGAAGAGAGATTACAGCAGTTGTTGGAGGAGAAAGAAAATAAAGAAGAAGAGAAATTACAGCAGTTGTTAGAGGAGAAAGAAAATAAACAAGAAGAACAAGAACAGAAACAAGAAGAGAGACTACAGCAGTGGCGACTGGAACAAGAAAGGAAACAAGATGTACAAATGGAAAACATTAGTAAATTTAAAAGTGAATTAGATACATTAAAGGACAATCTATTGTCTTTTACACAAGGAGGATACATTGACCATTGACTTAATCAGCCCCAGACAATGACAAGCCCCTTCCAGACCCTGCAGCTAAACCATAATGCAGACATATTCAGTCCCGTTAGAAGTCACGTCCCAGATATGAATGCCAGTACTAGGAGTGATCCAGTGCGAAGGAAGCCACAGGAGTTCGATGGGAAGGCACCGTGGGAAGCATATAGAGCACAATTTGAGCTACTGGCAGAGATGAATGGAGGGACAGAGGAGCAGAAAGCAGAATATCTGGCAACTAGCTTGAAGGGACAACCACTGGAAATAATTGGACAGTTGTCAGCAGACGACAGACACAACTATAGAGCACTGGTAGCGGCTCTTAGAACTCAGGTACGGAACCCAAAATCAGTCAGAAGTCTACAGGGCTAGGTTTAGGACAAGAGTCCGTG